GGAGCCCTTCCACGGATCTCCGCTCTTGCAGCGCCATAGAGGTAGGTACCTAGCGAATCTCCAGATCTCCCGACGTACAGGTGCCGTTTTAGCATGGACCATGGAACCCGAATTCCTAGAATTTGGGAATGCTGTGGTCTCGGATAGCTACACCTTGGACCTGGGAATGCAGAGGTACAAATAGGGTACAATATGGGAACTGGATAAGCACAGCCAACCCTGTTGCGGTAGCGCCAAAAACGCCTCTTTGCGGGTACTGTGCCGCTAGCACGAAGCCAAGCACGCATCCAACATGCCTTGCCAGGCATGCGCTTGCATCCGCCCTTGAGATCCGTGAAAGGGGTCAGGGTCAGGACCAAAGTATGGTTCTAGGTATGGATATGGGTATTTCTGCAAGGCTTGCATTGGACTTGACGTTGTGACAGGTGCCGCTAGTGCGAGACGGCCTACGGGACTGCGAGATGTTGCAGAGGAGCGTGCTGTTGTACGGATTGTCACTGGTACTGCAACCTGTCGGGACGCAGAGTTCCCCCATCTGCTTGCTGCATAGGTAGCTAGGCGAGTTCAACGGTGACTCGACGCCTTATTAGACACACCCGCTCAAACATGGATGGATGAGCATGGATGAGCCAGTGATTATTGTCTTGTCGTCGGGGGCCACGACGCAAAGCCAACGAAAATACACGATAAGGAAAGTGTACGGGATCGTGCTCATTACCCTGAAACAACACGACTAGCCAAGAGAATCTAGGCATTGCGATGCCAACTTGTGTCCATGTCCGAAGTAGAAGAAAAAGAAACGAAGAGAAAATCATGCCCTTATCCTAAGCTTAAGTGATCTCGATGAACATGGCGCCGTGTTCAAATTTCTAGTGCTCTCAACAGTTTTGAACAGTTTTGGACAGTTGAGGGTTGAAAGCGATGTGACACGAGTACGAACTCATGAACTCATGAACTGTGCGCGATATTGCTGTCGAGTTTCCGGATGAGGGTCTGGACGCATCAGGTATGGATTGTGTGCGTCGTCGATCTTGAGGAATAAGGTCGTTTGATTGCGAGACGCGAGAGGCGCGCTTGAGAAGAAATAGTGACTAATGAGACCGCTTTTCGGCCACTCTTGTCGCGACTCGTGAGTTGGCGCAGGATGGACCCATCTCGAGGAAACCCTTCTTTTCGGCACTCTTTCGGTGGTGACGAAGGGAGAGTCAGCTGATCGTCCACACCCGTTGAAGAACAAAGAAATCAAGGATTATGTGTACCTATAGGCGACCAGGCGACTACCCTAAGGTAAGGTACCCAGGTAAGATTGGTCGTCCCGGCCCTAGCTGCCCAACCCAATCCAAGACGAAGGGGCCTAAGGAAGGAGCACCTTGGTTCGGGCCCTTACTAATCTGTTAGACCAGGGTTCGTACGTGCGTATGTGCGTATGTGCGTACCCCTAACCTCTTCGGCTAATGCGTTCGGGTAAACAACAGTTGGAAACAACGGTTGGAACCTTGGAAGGGGTTCAGCTGGTAGCCACGCCCTTACAATAGGAGGTAGTTCCCTTGTATGAATACCTCCTAACCGCTGGGCAGGCGCCATGCTCTGCATCTAAGATCGGGGCTTCCAGCTATACCAAGCGATACCAAGTGATACCAACATGGAAGCAACTGAGCAGCTGCTGGGGTAGGCGGCAGTTGCTCCATGAGGAAAAATATGTACATACATGGGACGTTATGCACTTACCTTCTCGCTTCCCTCTTCCTGAGGCTTTAAGCCACTCGTAGATTTTCTGTTCCCATGCTCCCATTGTTATTCCAGGCCGTCCACGCCATTAACAGCGATCATATAGTCGATGTAACTAGACGCCATATCAGCTTACTTGCATCGGATTTCTTCGGATATGCACAAGCAACTAATCATCGACGGCTCTTCCATGGCGTACCTCAATCGACTCTCTCTCGCTTTAAGCGCTCCAATGGCTGTTGGCTCTCTGACGTTTCAGTTCGAAGAGAGTACATTGAACTCCTTGGGTGAGTAAACGAAGTAGAGGTCATCTTCCTATGGCAAGCTCAACTTGATTTAACCTAGAAAGATCGTTAATCTATGCTTGGATCAGGACGAGGCATTCCTGGAAATGTACTTCTTTGCCAACACACCCCATCATAAATACCTTCGGAACTCACCGAGTCGTATTCGAAACTAGGACATAGCAACTTGAAACCAGTTTCAGATTGAGCCAGTCTGATATCTTGTTGAGAGATAGCTCTTGTGCGTGTCCAGCAGTCAAATCTCGATGATGAAGTCTCCTCACGACAGTCTGGGACTGGTGTCAGGGAGGCGGAGTCTGTTTCGGAGGCGAGGCTATGCCTCTCTACCTGACGGTTGTCTAGGCGTGCCTCTGTTGAATATCCCAACCTCCAAGCACGTACGGAGTGTTCTTATGAGCTTGGACGTTCTGCGCAGTGCGAGTCACACGACCATGATTGTCAAGGAAACGACCGAGGTAATGTTCTGGTCTAGGAATAGGTGAAGACTTAATATGACGCGAACGCGGGATTAAACAAAGCTTTATAGTAACTCGATGGCATCTCCCTGGAGGTGGGCCAAGTTGTCGTCGCGAGATTGACCGTTCTTCAACCTGTGCTACAGGGCCCTCTAGAATCTAGATCGGACATTGTCCGCTCTTGAGATGTAAGCGGTGTCACGATACCGGACCCCGTTACTTGAAGTCGGAAGTTACGAAGTTCCCGTGAGCCGCATGGTTCAATGTCAACATGCGGCTTATCTTCTCGAACACGTGGGTTCGTGAGCTGGTATATCTGCCGAAGACCAATTGGGCCCACTCTCCATTTATAGGGGTACGAAGCCGAGTCTAGGCCCTCATTATGATCCGTAACTATAAGACGGCGATAAGATTACACGGTTTTGGCGAGATCTATATTTGCTTGCAGACAGGGTCTCGAGGCCTTTGGCATGATATGGACAAGGCTAGCTTCCAGTTTCGAACGCAGGTCTGGCATGTGGCATATGCCTCGACAAGTGGGATTGATTCTATGAGGAGGCACACATTCTACCCCCGAAATTGGTGCATGCCGGGTAGTTCAATTGTATGTTAGGTGAGTGTAATGCAGAGTAACTATCAAGTTAGAAGCTACCTACCTAGGTTTCCTGAATAGATGTTCGGTTTCCACTACCACTCTTGGTCGATATTACCAGGACGGCACCCCGAGTTAGCTCCGTCCCTTTCCAAGAAGCGAGCGCACTCCGAAAATGAGAAGTTTATGACGTTACAATGTTCCAGATGCTGTGCTACCAAATGTGAGATATTTCATGTGGCTGAAAAGCATCACGAAGCAACCAAGCGAGGGAGATATGCCGGCCGTTGTCCCCGTCATAGCCTACTGGTTGGGTGTATGCAGATTCACCGTAAATCTCACTTAGCTCAAACACGCCCCATATGAGAGATATATTCAAGCTTTTTGGCCTTTTGCTTACTCTTCGGAGCTTCGTGATATGTAATAAGGTTCATAATCGTAACCCCTATATCTATCTACGCCAGCGTCCAACTCCCGAGAACATTGCTTCATAACTCGGATCTTTTAACGAAATGTAATTGGGGTGTATCACCTTCATATAGTATCTAAGCCGACCCCTATATTGAGCCACGTAAATGAATAACGTACAGGCTTATCTCTACCGTGACGACAGTGATCGCGGTCAATACCCTTTCCACCGTGGATTTCTTCTTGCCTCTCCCCTCTTTGGCCCCCTATGATAGTTACCTAAGGTATCCATTGACCACACCTAATGTCATCATCAAATAGACTTTCCGTCTGCTGTTCCCTCATGTTTCCCCCCCTTGATGCCATACCTACCGTTTACCAGTTGAGCACATCTGACAGGCAGCGCCTACAATAGAATGAAGTTCGCGCAGGCATGCAACCATAATACACTGTCGCGATTAACTATCTAACCTAGGTACTTTGAGATTGCTGTTGGATAGGGGTAGGTATCTATCACATAGAGGTCGCCTCACTACAGAAAATTCCTTTAAGAGGAATGATGGAACATGCCCGAAGAGTACCTATCTTTAGAGAGCAGCCTAGTCCCCGATGTCACTCACTTAACATGATAGCCGTTCTTGATTCTACACCTCTTAAGACGCCCCTTAACAGCTGACCTTACTGAAATTTCACGGAGCAATTAACGTAACTTACGTGACGAGTATATAACTGGTTGATATTCCACTCGTGGAGGAGAGAACCCACTAAGTAGTTAGGGACAGAGAGGCAGCAGATCATTGTACATGATTAGTAATCTCACCGGCGCAGAGACTAGATCAATTCAGAGGGTCCTACTTAGCATCTTCTCTCTTCTATCCTTCAAGCAAGATAGTTCGCCTCAAGGTAGAGCCCTGTAAGGGGTATCCCCACTAAACATCACCTTGAAATGTGATATAAATTCTCTAAAGATCATAGCCCAGGATCACAGTGACATCTTACTAATGACCATCGTCCTGCCGCTGATTGCCTTTAGAATTGGTCTGTCATCCGGGGGCGATAACGCCGAAAGCTTTCTTCCCAGCAGGTACATCACAGGAAAGACTTACATTGCCGACTTCAATCTAAGTTTGAATATGGCCATTCTTAAAGCATGTAGCTTGGCTAGATGGTCCCGTGATGAGGCATAGTTGTAGAGCGCCCACTTGAGTTTCCCCTGAACTTGAAGGCTTCTCTGCTTTCCTTAGGCACTCGCGATGCATCACCGCAGCCCCTAAAATCTAAGGGCACTAGCTAAACCACTTTATTAAGTTCTCTTACTAATGCGTTTAGTGACTATGGCTTTTTATCTTGCATGGGAGGAGGTATTGCGACAAGGTAGATTTTTGACTGAATTGATAAGTTTTAGTCTTTGCATAGTACTTAACCACACGCGGGCGTGTAAATTGTAGGGCATATAAAAGACATGAAAAGCTCGCCGGAGGAGGGAGAAAAGAGGCAGCAAGAGACAAAAAGGGGCCTGGGTAGGATTCGAACCTACAACCTTCCTAGCATTACCTCGCTTCTGCAATGTGAGTGGTCGCTTTTCAACGCCATGGGTAGGTAAGTAAGAAGCTGGTAATGAGAGAACGTGCTACCACTACACCACCGAGCCTTTCTTTCATAGGATGGCGAGAGACTAGGGAGTTGGAACCATATGCCTTCCTTCATAGCCAGTGCGATCTCCTTCTTGGGAGTCAACCTCTCATGGCCTCCAGGAGCAGTTGCAGTAGTTAAATTCATACATGTTCACGTAATTAACGTAAAGATCATACACCAACTTACCTAAAAAACCAGAATCAATATCCGCAGCTCGTGATCTCCTCTAAGTTTAAGAGGGACTTACTCTGTCTTTATGAACGCCTTCCCTTCCGATAGCTTGGATTTGTATCTTAAGACAACGGCCGTATACGGAAATAGAACTGAGCCGAGGCAGAAAGGGGTACGAACGAGCGGGTAATAGATAGCCCAATACCTCACCCAACCAAGGCGGCTAGAGCTGTACACAGCTACGTACGGCTAAGTGATCCATATATGAGTATAGGGAAGCAGCGAAAACCCGGTCAATTTTCTATATATAACGAGCGAACAAGTCCTCGCTCTCGGGTATCGAAGCGCTCTCGATTTGAACTTAGGTTTGGATCTGGACAACATCCAGGAACGGAGGCATGGCAGTTACTCAGAAGAGCTGATGTTCTTAGCCTCATTCGATTGCGTGGTGGTTTACAATTAAATGCTTTGTGAACTTTAAGGAACGTGTCATTAGAAATGGAAAAGAACTCTGATGTGTACCTGTTGATATCTCAATGTCATGTCTCTGCATTCAAAACGATGGTGATTCGCGGATCCGCAAATTACGTAATGACTTTTCTCCACAAGTGGGGCCAACCGTTTTAGCAGTGTCGTTTCGACGCGCCTACCGTACAGAATACATAAGGTCCGCTGATTTCGCCGCTTCATTAAGGTATTCGCGAGACGTTGATGACTGTGCGGAAGGTCCAAACATAAACCACGCCGTTACCTGACAAGGCTATGTAATTGGCGGGGTTCTTCTCGGTGGTGGTCCCTTGAGGTTGCAGGCTGGCAGGGAGCTCTCAAGCTTCACCTATCGGTATCAAAACTTCAGGTCCCGTCCCCACCATCGTACATCAGGCATGTGCTGTAATGACTTCAACTATCTTCGAACCTTACCTGGTAGTCTTCAATGTTCTATTTTAACTCCCTTTTCGTTTCTGCAAAGCTTTAATTGTATTTGTCATACTTGTGATAGCCGGCAATCTGTGATGATATGGCGAGGGATGTCGGCTCTGAGGGGGAGCTCCAAGTGAGCAAATGCCATTGTGAGACTGGTCGCAAGAGGGTAAGCTACTTGTTTAGCTTTGAACTACCATCGCCTTTAGAGGCTAACCTGCTGACGTCGTGGTCTTGGTAGCACCGCATTCCAAGGTCGATCTTCATTCCCTTTGAGGCTACTCCGCCCTTCAACATCCCTAATCTAGATCACGATTCGGAAGACGAAGCCGCCGACGATGATAGCACTGTTTCTGATGGATCCGATGAAGATGACGAGCTTAACATTCTCGAAGACGAGCCCCCTGTGCCCGACATTGACATGCTTGATAACGTCCCAATGATAGCCAATTTGCTGGGCGAAGACGGAGCTATCCCCGCTGGCGTATTCAATAACGTAAACAACGAAGGGTTCGATGTTGACGGTGACTTTGGTGATGAGTCTCTTGACTCGGGATCAGATGGCTCACTGGAAGAAGAAGGTCCCCCGCAGATCGCGACATGGAGGATGAACCTCACAGCGCTATCGCAAGTCTATAATTTTTATATGGTAGCGTACACAGACAAGATCTATATCTCTCGGCCCCGCAGCTGCTCTAGCCACGCATTGCCTGTCGAACCCGATCTTATCTTGCGACCCCCAGCTAGTACGATGAGCCTTTCTGTTGTCGGGTATTTGGATGCCAACTTTCCGCATCAGGTCAATCATCTCATTGTGGGCGAGCTTGGAAACGAGGAAATCCTATTGCTTGCTTACGATGACGGTGACGTCATAGGCTATTATACTCGGCATATCGAGAATGAACTTAGGCGCCGTGAGAGGGACGGTCGAAGTAACAAGGCCACTCCTGAACCTTTTTTCCACGAGAATGTTGGTAAAAGTGCTTGGGGGTTGGCAGTTCACAAGCAATCCCGTATTATCGCCGTCAGTTCCAACACACATAATGTCTGTGTTTTCGTTTTAGCCTTGACGGGCCAGCCATATCGACATATTCCTGAGGCTGATCCTGTCGAATTTTTCAGAAACATCGTCAAAGATGAGAACGGAAACGTCTTGGATCCAGGAAGGGACCCAACACAACCGCCCGTAGTGCTTAACCACACTACAAGTGATGGTTCAAAAATCGCTGCCCTGGAAAATGCGGTGCGGCGTAGAGATGCTAACTGGCGCATTATTCTCGAAACTGGTCATACTGGGACTAACATTCCCAATATCGCATTCAGCAACGACGAATACGGAGAGGCATCCAAAGTTGTGGCGGTAGATATCAATGGAAGACTCTGGCTAATGGACATTTGGCATTTTGACCAACGCCCCCATCTCAAGATCGAGGGTCTTCACCGCGGCCGCGCCCGTGCTAGATTCCAAGGGCAACCTGCCCACTCTCATAAGTGGGTTCAATTTCTCTTAACTCATTGCTATGAAGACACTAACAGCAACCAGACCTAGGGGTTGGGGCGTACTCGTATTGCCCGAGAGCAGTTTCCTTCCAATGAAGGATACGGAGGATGCCCTTGGCCTGCCATTGAACGAAACCAAATGCGCGTCTAATGAAAAAATTGGGCGTTGGATTGATATTAGCCAAGGCATCAAGTACGTGAAGAACAACTCGGGAGAGCATCCATGGGTAAGGTCACGCAATACCCAACGGTTTGCTTTCAATCCTATGGAACCTAGGCGGGCCCAATTGGAGAGTCCGTGGTACGACTTCGATGCCAACGTGACGCTTCCTTCACTTTATGGCTGGATTAAAGACAGCTCGCGGGCCGGGCTTGAGTCTCGGTTGGGACGATCTGATTCTGGGCATTCGCGACATGATACCGTCCTGGAAGATGGGAGCAGTATATTGCGGACGTATGAAATGGACGTTGAACTTCGCAGTTTCGAAGAAGGCGGCATGGGCATCATGTTTGAGAAGGTCATCGACCAGTCCCGGCCTTCGCATGCAGTACTCCCGTCAATGAGGATATCACATGAACGCCTGGCCAATCTTATACATGTGCCAGAACTATCATTAGTCGTAGCCGGCTCGATGTGTGGACGGGTAGCGCTTATCACATTAACACGCCCAGAGGAAAAGGGCCTTCCTTTTAAACGGGCTTTCAAGGTTGAAGCTATTCTACCCACAAGACGGGACGAAGATAACCTCTTACGACCCATCTGTCCTCTACTGGGCGTGGCTGTTGGGCCGGCAGCATTTTCGGGAAACGTAGAACTGACAGACAGGCCTGTCAGTCCAAAGCGGTACCGCATCATGCTTCATTACTACGATCTGCGGATCCTCAGCTACGAAGTATTCCGAAAGTCAAGAACGGACCCCCTCTCCGTTGTTTGAAGGTACTGTTTCCCTTCTTTCATTAGGATGTATATCATGATACCCAGTGTTTCGTGGGCTGTTTCGGGATTGAGGCCGGCTAGGCCGGAGGGCGTTCAGGTTGCATCAGGACGGCGAATGGCGGACAAGGCTCTCCAACCATCTACTAGCCCGTCCAGGTGAGGCGTTACGCGAAGGAATGAAAAATGTTTTGAAACGGATACGCAAAGAATGGCACGAATGAAAAGTGAAACTGTGAATCAGCTTTCCCCAGCTTCGTTACATACTACGATATGCAATGCGGCTGGCCCGTGGGGGGAAATCAGACCAACCGGGCAGGGGTGTCTTTTTCTAGAAACTCCCCGGACAAGGATGATATACCAGGCACATGAAGTTGGGGTTGTACATTTTCGTTGAACAACCATTTTTACGTACTGGAAAGACGGGATGGCTCACGAGCTAAGCCCTACCTATCTCTTACCACACGATAGTTATCGATGCTTTGAGCATCCAGAAAAGGACTGTAAGGTAGCCTTAAATTATCAATGACACAAGTACGTCCATGCTTTAGAAAACACATCATTAATGCAGCCGGTTCTGGAAAAGGTAGTAGGTTTTCTAACAGAAATGTCCGCATATGACAACGGTGCTGCCGTCTTCTGCAGGTACATGGATACCTTTACTCTTGCGAGTACGTACAGCCAGATCGGATGCCAAGCCACGATTTCGTGGAGGAATGATAAATCAGTAAAGGCAATTGCAATTCCTCATTGGACAACAGCTCAGAGATAAGGCTTTGATTTGGCTTTTCCGTTTAGAGTTAAGAGTCTTGCGGGTCGTACTTTGCTTCCCGGGATTAATGGGAGCCCAATTTTGTAAGGTACCGAAAATTCCAGGGAGGCGAGCTGGTGGACAGGAAACATTCAGCCCTCAGCTCAAGGTCTCCTAATCTCCGGCAGCCTTAATGCATCGTTTAACATGCGACTGTAACACGATCTGGGCGAAAGACGTACGCAAGAGAGTTCTGGAAGCAACTCGGGTGACACCGATGCGTCTAGTTTAGTCGTATCGACGTGACAGTTGGGACGCACGTGTCTATAAAAGGTTACCGAACCTAGACTTGGCCGAGAAGCGGCATTCAATTGATGGCTTGACATCATCCAATTCGAATATAGATGCCCACCCTGCGCGGAAATTGTTAATGGGGTACTTCTGGATCTCCTTAGGTCTCAGCTACATATGTAAGCAGTCGAACCTACTGTATTGTAGATCCCGGCACTAGTGACCCCCTGTCTCTCAAGGTGCTGCCAGAAAAGAGATTGATGACTGATCAACGCTGGAAAACTTCGCAAGTGTGGGCGTATCTAGGCTCGGTGAACGCGGGATGCTTCATCAGCTTAAGTCAAACTTGTTTTTATCTGCTTGGCTTGACATATAGCAGCTTACATATAATGTAGTGGAAGTCATGCATGTAATACCGTACAATAGAATTCATCATCAAGTCAGAAGT